TCGTCCGATCGTACTTAAGGAGAAAATGAATCCGAACAATCCACACACGCAGGATCGCTTCTCGGTCGTCCGATCGCAGGGTACGCGGATCACCAGCGTGGCCTCCCGCGTGGCACCAAGTCAACGTGCCTTGCCACGCGACGCGCTCCGATTCGTTGAGGCTGCTGAATGGCAGTCCTATGTGATCAAAATTTTCTTATTTACATTCTGACCTCTAGAATCTAATTTTTCTTTTAAAAAAATTCTCCGAACCCAAATTTTCACCCATTTTTTTCAAAATTATTTTCAATCTCATCCCTAATTTATTTTTTCCCAAATATAACAAAATTTTCATTAATTAATTTATAAAATATATTTTTCATACATCTTTAAATTAACAAAATTTATTCCAGGTCAATTTTTTGGGTCCGAGTATTACACACTGTCGTACATTGCTATCTCTTTTGTTTTCATCAGAACAAAACGTGAACAACTTCATACAACCACGTGTTCTAAATAAATCGACAATTAGTTACTAATCGATTCTTAAAAGATGTTAGAGAGTACATTCTAAATTATTTAAGCAAATTTATACATGTCAACTTCATATCTTAGTAAGGGCCACGATTTGAGTCCCTACTGACAAACGTGTATCGATTTATTTGTATACTCAAGTCTAATTTTTACCTCATAGGAACTAAATACCTCATATAAATTATTTTAAAACTCTTGAATTATAGACTTAAGAATCATAGATCTTATGACTAATACTTCTATATTTTTATACACATATTTTATGTTCAAGTAATAAAAAAACTATCAATGCATATGGTTCTCTCATTACTATTACAAGCAGATGTAACATTAAGTTTAACCATATCATTACCATAAAAAATACATTATATGTCCCAAAATTATGCACTAATCTTGTGTCATTAAATAATTATCACTTTGAATTGTAAAGTAATATTGGTTCTTCTCATTGACTTTTAGGACCGAGATTCAAAGAAGATAATTGGATATGTTGAAGTCAAAAAGGAATTCTACTACCTATATGCACCTAAGAGATCATTCTTTGTTATTACTACTGACTTCACATAAGATTTGGTTTCACTATACAATACTTGGGCACCATCCTTCTCCATCTTTAAAGTGATATTTTCCTTATTATTTAAGAATTCATAATATGAAAATTTGCACTGCGATATTTGTGAGTTTGTAAAATATAGGCATATGATATTTTTTATTATTAATAAATGAAATTTAGTTTCGTTTTCATTAATCCACATTGATATTTGGGGATCATATCACATATCTAATATTTATGGGGATCTATAGTTTGTGTCACTTATTGACGATTGCATTAGAGTTACCAAACTATTTTTACTCGATGTCAAATATGATATTAGTCATATTATACTCCAACTATGCAATATGATAAAATTTCAACTTGAAACATTCATAAATGAATTTTGCATCGATAATGTTAAAGACTTTTTTTCAATCCAGACACTTACTTTATTCTTCCATAAAAAATGAATCATTCATAGATCATCCAACATCCATACTCC